CAAAAAGAAAAAAATCGATTTTCTTTTGTTTCAAATGATTTTTGAATTTTTAAAAATGGCGCCTGTTTTTTTAGCGCCAAAAAGAAAATTCTTCCTCCCGCCCCCCAACCCGACCCCCAAGGACAACAGACAAGCAAAATGTCACCCGTCATTCGACACATGTCCCGGGGGTAGAATTCCTTTCCTCCTCCCATTAAGGGACATCGGGCGACCATTTCGCCAGAATCACTGTTGAATTCGAGGATCGATTGGCTTTTCCAATCGCCAACAAAGACGCGATTGTCTTCGTCGCCGGCGACCATCGATGTAATACGCAGCGGGTTCGATCCTTGCAGACGGCATTCACTTTCTATCTGCAAAGGCCCGGATGTCTCTGCCTCCCACACGATTATTTCTTTCTTCAGTGACTCTAGGGAATTGCGGCACCATTTCGGAAAGGTCACCAACCAACGTCCTTTCTCTTGAGGAGCAAACGATTGACGGAGCCGCGTATAAAGCTCCGCTCCCGTCAACCTCAGTCCACAGACGACGTCCCCATCGTCGGCGCCGTCCGTCAACAAATGGCGCACGGTGTGGCGCCAGATCGTCACCTTCTTTAAAAGGTCTTCTCTCTCTTTGAGGGAACGGCGCCATTTTCTCTTCAGTTCGGACGCCGTCGCTCTCATATCGTCGCACAGCTTTCCCAACTTAAGCTGTGTCTCTTCAACGAAACTCTCGAATTCCTCCCACGCTTTGGTGCATTCCGTGTCGCAATCCATTGACATTTGGTCAATGGATTCCCTCGTCAGATCGTTGGTCGCCCGGATGTAGATTTCGAAATCTCGGAGTTGCCGCTCCAGGGTGGGGCCGCCTTCCTCCTTCCCCTTCGACGCCTCCTCCCTCACCGACAGCGGACGAGGCGGACACTGGGGGGAGGCGGTCACGTGCTCTTGGTAACATGCGTCACACAGGCAGACGTTGCACCGATTGCAGTAGGCGTCCTTCGATTTGCGGTGCCGTCGACAGTCGTCCGTCGTGATGACCCGGATGGCGTCCTCCCTCGATTTGCCGGACAAGTCTTCCCACTGGTGATTAGATTCCAATCTCCTGTGAATCCTGTTACAGTTCTGGCACAAGAGTTTCTCGCAATGCTTGCACCAAATCTCTCCGGACGATTCCTTGCCGTCTTCAAAGCACCAGTCGCACCTCCATTTGTTGGATTCCAGCTGACGGCACCACAATGTCTTCACCAGAAATGGTGCCAGTCTCAAATCGTCACCGCTGACAGGCTGGTGGCACTGGGGACACGGGCCGTTTCCTTCCCGAATCATCTCCACACATGACTGGCAGAAGGAATGAAGACATTGTAATGTCTTTGATGCCATGTCCAACATTTGGTCGCATTTCGAGCATTGGAATAATTCTTCGTCATTCACATTCGACGCCATTTTGAAAATTTCTTCCCAAAATAAAAAATCAAATCTGAAAAGAAAGAAAAAAAAAAAAAAAAGGTCAAAAGGTCAAAATCAGAAAAAGAGGAAAAAAAAAAAAAAAAAGAAAGAAAAATTCATTTATAAAAACCGGACGAAAAATGACCCGACATTTCGAGATTTTACAAGAAAAACAAATGTAAATGAAGGGGAGGAGAAGAGTTGGGCGGTGAATGAAATATTGAGAGAGTGGGCAACGGAGAGAGAGAGAGAGAGAGAGAGAGAGAGACAGAGGGAGAAGGAGAGAGAGAGAGAGAGAAGGAGAGAGAGAGAGAAGGAGAGAGAGAAAGAAGGAGAGAGACAGAGAGGGAGAAGGAGAGAGAGAGAAAAGAGACACAGAAGGAGAAGGAAAGAGAGAAGGAGAGAGAGGCAGAGAGTGAAGGAGAGAGAGAGAGACAGAAGAAGGAGAGAGAGAGAGGGAGAGAAAGAGAGAGAAAGGGAGAAGCAGAGAGAGAGAAGGAGACAGAGGGAGAAGGAGAGAGAGAGAAGGAGAGAGAGAGAGAGGGAGAAGGAGAGAGAGACAGAGAGGGAGAAGGAGAGAGAGAGAGAAGGAGAGAGAGAGAGGGAGAAGGAGAGAGAGAGAAAGAGAGAAACAGAGGGGAAAGGAGAGAGAGAAGGAGAAAATAAAAGGGAGAAGGAGAGAGAGAGAGAGAGAGAGACAGAGGGAGAAGGAAAGAGAGAAGGAGAGAGAGGGAGAAGGAGAGAGAGAGGGAGGGAGAAGGATAGAGAGAAAGAAGGAGAGAGAGACAGAGGGAGAAGGTGAGAGAGAGAGGGAGAAGGAGAGAGAGAGACAGAGGGAGAAGGAGAGAGAGGGAGAAGGAGAGAGAGAGAGAGAGAGAGAGAGAGAGAGAGAGAGAGAGAGAGAGAGACAGAGGGAGAGAGAGAGAGAGAGAGGAGAGAGAGAAGGAGAGAGAGAGGAGAGAGAGAGAGAGGAGAAGAGAGAGAGAGACGGAGAGAGAGAGAGACAGAGGGAGAAGCAGAGAGAGAGAGAGAGAGGGAGGGAGAAAAGGGAAGAATAAAACGTTTTTCTCCCAATATGAATTCGGTTAAAAAAATCAAAAAAAAAGAAAACAATCCAAATTTCTTGTAGTTTTCATGCGTTGGTTTGAGGGGCTGTGACGTCATAGGGTCAGAAGTGATTTCATTGGACGAGAATTACCACACCCTACCAAGGCAGAAGGGCGTTACATGCAATAACAAGGGAGGGAAAATGGGAAAGATATAAGTGAAGGGGAGGAATGAGGAAAAAGAAAGAAAAGAAAGTGTTGTATGAAAGAGAGAGAGGGGGGGTAAGTCTTTTTTTTATCTTTTAAATAAACAGATAGAGAGATAGGGATGGAAAATAGGGAAGGGGAGTAATGAGCAATAAGAGAGAGAGAGAGAAAGTGTTGCATGAAAGAGAGAGAGAGAGGGGGGAAGGAGAAGGGCGTTTTTCCATTTCTTTTAAATAAACACAGACACATATGAAAAGGACTGAGATAGATAGATAGATAGATAGATAGATAGATAGATAGATAGATAGATAGATAGATAGATAGATGAAAAGGATAGATAGATAGATAGATAGATAGATAGATAGATAGATAGATAGATAGATATGAAAAGATCTATCTCAGTCGAGATAGATAGATAGATAGATAGATAGATAGATAGATAGATAGATAGAAAGAGAGAAGGTACCTCCAATAATTCGCTGAAAAAATGAATAGAAAAGAAGAAATTATTTTTTTAATTTTAATTAATTTCATAATTTTTCTCGAATTTCAAATCCGCTCCAAAATGATTTTTCGAAAGAAAAGAAATGAAAGAAGCAGACGATAAATGATAATCGATATTTTCAATCATTTATTGGAAAAACTTTATCCGAAATCTTAACTAAAAACGCATTTCTTTTCCAACAAAATCCGAAAAAGACATTTTTTTTTGTAATTCTATGAATTTAAAAAGAAATAAAATTGTTACTAAAAAGTTTTTTCTCTGTGTTTTGGGGGTGAAAAAAAAGGGTGTGGCAGGGAAACATCAAATAAAAAAAGTAAAACGAAGCATTTCTCTTTGGATTTATGAAAATATTTCGGTAAAATTCGATTATTTGGAAATCGATAGGAAAATTCTGACTTACAATTGATTCCGTTCCGATTTCACTTCAACTGAAATTAGTTTTTGTTTTATTTTTCCTCAAAAGACAAAAGAGCAAAAAAAAAAATGACGTCTTCTTCGTGTCGCTTTTCGCCAAGTGAGGACAGCGGGAAGGCGAGATTTATTTTGTAAAAAATACAAAATTGTGGCACAAGGCCAAAAAAAGGGGGGGGGTAAGGCTGGTCTTCACTAACTATCTTATACCTAGCTAATTTGATTCACGACCCATTCAGACATTACAATTTACTCATTCACCATAAGAACTCGTCCGTCACCAATCGATCCTCAATGCACCATAATACCACATCCACTCTAGGGAGACCTACAAAACGCACCCCGTGTCATAATGATCCTAACACATATGTACAAAAATTCTAAGATGAAAAAATGAGATGGGGGTGGGATGTGAACCCAATAACAAACTAAAATATTAACATAAATGAAAATAAAACGTTAACTGATGTTAGTAGGGCCCGTCTAACCCTCAAAATGCAGGGAGACCACTGTATTCTGCCCATTGGAACAAAATCAAGCAGCTCTCTCGCTAAGGGAGTGGGAAAGGTGATAAAAAAAATCATACGGGCATGGGGAAGTATAAAGCTGACCCAGTCGAGATAGAAAGTGGGGGGTCAAAAAACAAACTGGGGAGGTTGGGAATCTCAGGCTGGATCATAACTAAAGATGTGGCCGGGGGCAGGCCGGGAACAACACTTACTCGCATTAACTAGGTACACCAAAGCTTGTCAGACCTAACCAAGGGGAGGGCACCACAGGAAGCCACCCCGATGCAGCGTAGGCTTGACCTAAAACAGAAAATCAAGGCTAGCCCCGTTCACACGAACCAAGCTCGCCTCAGTCACCCACCTTTCGCTGAAGACTGTCGAATGCAAGCGTTTTCTATCAGTTCTAATCTTCATCTTGAGCTGATGCTCAAAGAATCGGATCAGATCCTGATGAGAAAGACGGATACCTCGCAAGACTTCCTCCTCTCGCGTCGTCCATATCACCATTCGGGCCGTGGCTAGCAGCATGAGAAACACCATCCGTTTCACCCCGGAATACGGGGGCGACACATTGTCACACGCGTATGCGCGATCCATGGGCACAAGCTTTTCGGGAGCGAGACGAGCCGTCAGCTCGCCGACATGGTCCCATAAGGGGGATCCCGGGGGCAATGGAAGAAGGCGTGCGAAGCCGTTTCCTCTAGACCAAGGCCACACCGATCGCAATCTGGCAAGTCCGCCAAGCCCCATATGAAGGCCCTGTCGTTGAGAGGCAGCCGATTCCGAGCCAGTCGCCAGGTAAGCGAAAACTCAGGGTTACTGAGGTAATCCGCCGCTGGCGCCCAAGACCAGTGAGAGCGAAACTCATCATCCGACATGTTGAGATCCTCACGTAGGGGATCCTTCGCGACCCCCTCCACTAGCAAACGATAGAAGTCCTTCCTAGGCCGAGAAAGGTCACTGGACCAAGGGACAGCCAACAAGGCCGACCGACACTCGCTAAAGAAAACCGATTGAACCCGGGGTTTACGACGGCGATCCACCCGCGAGCTAAGGGGACTGATGGTAAGGCGAGGGAAGGCGGCCCTCACAATCCCCTCAATAATCGGATCTCCACCTGTCAAAGCGCGGCGTAGGGAAGCCAACCTCGAGGCACGTTTGTGGCTCAGCAAGTGTGGCATTCCCAGCCCTCCATGACACGGACGTTGTGCACAGACTTCTCTGTCGACCCGATTCCGCGTCTCCTCCATAGAATGGAGGTTAGCGAGCGCTCGAGCGGTTTCCTGTGGTCGTCACAGAGAGGAAGTACGGACAATCGATAAGAGGGAAAAAATGTATGTAGCACACACCTCCGCCCTGCCCTTCACGGACAACCTCCGTCGACGCCAAGTCTGACCGGCGGCTTCGACCTTTGCTCGTACTTCAGACCAATTCTTCTCCAGCTGAAGGTCGGGTCCAAACCACACTCCGAGAATGCGGACAGGACCGTCCGTCCAACCGAAGGGCCCTGGAAGATCGACCCCCTTCCAGGCGCCTAGCCGCAAGCCGAACGACTTGTCGCGGTTAATCTTGGCCCCTGTCACCTTTTCGTACCGATCAAGCGCCTTCTGTACTGCCCTGATGCCTCTGCGGGACGACACGAAAGCAGTTACGTCATCGGCGTACGCGGAAACCCTGGCTCGAGCCCCGCCAGGAACGGCGATTCCGCATAGGGCCGGCCTGCACGCCCCGTCCCTCAGCCGGCGAAGGAGAGGCTCCAACGCCAAAGCGTAAAGTAGGGGCGACAGCGGGCAACCCTGACGAACCGACCTAGACAGCGCAAAAGCGCCTGACAGCTTTCCGTTCACCTGTACCACAGCACTGGGGGGGTGCGATACAGGAGGCTAATCCAGCGGCAGAAGTCGGGTGCGAATCCAGCGGCCTGCAGGACAGTAGCAAGGTAGCGATGGTCAACCCTATCAAATGCCTTGAACTGATCCAAATTGATCAGCGCGGCTCTCTCGTCGTCTTTTACTCCCTCTATGATCATGCGGATCAAATGCAGGTTGCTCTGAATTGTTCGACCCCTCACAGAACAGGTCTGCTCGGGACCCAACAGAGACTCGGCAACTGACTGCAAGCGCTCCTGCAGGATCTTGGCCATAATCTTTAACTCTGTGTTTAGCAGAGTTATGGGCCTGTAGTCGTCTAGTTTCTCACCGAACATCTCTGCCCTTTTTCAACAGCGTGATCACACCCCTGGACAGCCGGAAGGCGCTGTGACGTCATAGGATTTTAAGGCATTTCATTGGACGAGAATAGACACACCACTGGACAGGAGGGCGTTACATGAGATTACAAGGGAGGGAAAAGTATAGAGAGAGTAAGTGAAGGGGAGGGAAAGAGGAGAAAAAAAGAAAGAAGAAAAGCGGAAAAAAAATCAATGACGTCACACACACAAAGACACGTACAGATACAGACACACACACAGACATGTAATGATAAACACACATGCTGACACACACACACACACACACACACACACACACACACACACACACACACACATTAGACCCGGATAATTCCCCGGCTAGTGTCAGTATATATATATATATATATAAGAGGGAGAGATAGATAGATACGTAATGAACTGTCAGAAAAAGATAGATACATAATGAATAGTGAGAAATAAATAGAGAGATAGATAATCAACACAGGGGGTACGGATAATTCCATACATATATATATATATAGTAACAAAAACACACATGTATGTATATATATATATATGTGTGTGTGTATATATATATATATATATATATATATATATATATATATATATATACACACACATATATATATATATATATATATATATATATATATATATATATATGTTTATATAAAGATATACATGGAAAGGATTAAGATAGAAAGATACATAGATAAATACATAGATAGAAACGAAAAAGACTGAGAGATAGATAGATAGATAGATAGATAGATAGATAGATAGATAGATAGACAGACAGACAGACAGACAGACAAACTAACCAATATGAATTATTTGTTATTTTTTTGTTTTGTTTTTTGTGGGGGGGACTAAAATATCTCCGTTCACGTGGGTCAGAGAGAGGGTAGGATTTTTCTTTTAAATAAACACACACACACACACACACACACACACACACACACACACACACATATATATATATATATATATATATATATATATATATATATAGCTGAGATAGATAGACAAAATATCTATTTATTAAAAAGATGGTAAACCAGTAAATAATAAGTTAGAGAGCAAATATGATTTTTTTTTTAAATTTCATACTCAGAAATCACTAGCGTCGCAGTGGCTTTCTTGCCTTACTTTGGGGGAAATGTTTTCAAAAATAAAAAAGGAAGAAAATGTCTCTTTCTATTCATGGAAACATTTAAGAAAGTTGAAGAATTTAGAAATCGATAAAATTCAGACTTACATTTGATTTCGAATTCACTTGAGTGGAATTGGTTTTTTGTCAAAAGTTGTGGGACCCAAACAAACAAAAACGTCGTCTTCTTTGTTGAATTTGTCTGAAATAAACTGACGATGGCGACGCCCTTCCCGCGTTTAAATACTAACAACCCGGATGTAGAATGACGTCATAGAAATAGAATATTATAATTAATTATTAGTAGAAAAAAATTACAAAAATTAGTATAAAATAAATCAAATGCTTCTAAAATAAAAAAAAAATATTAATGCAGTATAAAATAAAAACTAATATAAAATCATGCTTTTTATTAGTTAGTCGTATAAACTAATTAAAAATAATAATTAATTTAACTAATTTCTTGGGCAAAATATAAAATTTGTTTTGCAAAAACTAAAAATGTTTATTGTAAAATAAAATAGAAATGACTTTTTGGCAATTTTAATTTATGATTTTAAAGTATTTTATGATAGTAATTAATTAAAAATTTAGAAAAGAATATAAATGTAATTAACACATTTCAGATGAATTTTAATTAAAATTAATAAGTAATTAATTGTAAAAATACAAAAAATTGAAATTATCTTCGGCTTTAAAATAAAGATAACTTTTTTATTTTTTCACTTACGTAATTAGAACGACCCCCCCCAAAAAAAAATATTAATGAAAATCGTTTGAACTTTGAAGTTTAAGTCAAAGGTCAACATAATTTTGATTGTATCGTCAAAGATCTAAAAAGTTTTGTTTTTTTTAATTTCATGATTATGAAACCAAGAGAAATTGAAACTAGACTTTTAAAATTCCGAGAAAATTGAAGGGCGTTGCCAAGTGGTAAACAAAATTCTGATTTATCAGGAATTTCCGATGACCTCGAAACTCGATCAAATGTCAAGAGATAGATAGATAGATAGATAGATAGATAGATAGATAGATAGATAGATAAAGATGAGATAGAGATGATATGATAAAGACCGATAGATAGATAGATAGATAGATAGATAGATAGATAGATAGATAGATATATATAGATAGATAATAATATAAGATATATATATAGATAGATAGATAGATAGATAGATAGATAGATAGATAGATAGATAGATAATGAATAGTACATTGAGATAGATAATAAATATACAGCTAAAAAAGATAATATATATATATATATATATATATATATATATATATATATATATATATATATATATATATATATATATATATATATATAAAAAGATATAACGTGTGTCACATAATCTTTTCATTAATATGTTCCAATTTTAGAATTTAGTTCAGAAACTTGTTTGTACATTGATAACAATAATAAAAGGAATTAAAAATTTTATTTTTAAAATTTAAGTGACACACCTATCTATCTATCTATCTATCTATCTATCTATCTATCTATCTATCTATATATATATATATATATATATATATATATATATATATATATATATATATATATATATATATATATATATATATATATATATATATATATATATTAAATATATAATAAAATAAATAAAAAAATTTATCTCAATAAAATGTTCAAACTTAATGTATAGCAAATAGAGTTGCATGTGCGAAGATTAGAAGTTTTAATTCTTCTTCTATGTGCCGTGTCCCTGTAGGGCGTGGGCGATTATGGCTCTCCACAATTTCCTGCCATATGTTGATCTTAATAAAAGTGTGTCTTTTCCGTCATCTCTCCTAAACCCCGTTCTGGCGTCCATTTACTCAAGCTGGCTAGGTTTTCCTCTTTCTCCCTCTTTAACTTCCATCCGTCCTGTGAGTATCAAATTTTCTAAGCCCTCTTACCTCATCATGCGCCTTAGATTTAGGCATTTGTAAAAGACACAAACATAGAAATGTTTTTCAGAAATTATAAAATTTGAATGTGTCTTAAATTTGAATCCAACTTGAATGTAGAAAGGAATTTATATATATATATATATATAAATATATATATATATATATATATATATATTATATACATATATATATATTATATATTTCTACATCCAAGTTGTATTCAGTAAATATTTGTATATATATATATATATATATATATATATATATACATATTTACTGAATACAACTTGATGTAGAATTTTTGTATATATATATATGTGTGTGTGTGTGTTCAATTTTAATTCAAATATTGAATATATATATATATATATATATATATATATATATATATATATATATATAATATAAATTCAAGATTATATATACTTATATATAAACTTTTTTCTATATTCAAGATGGTTTCAAATTAATATACATTGAAAGTTTATATATATATGAGCGTGTATAAAAAAAATTTATATATATATATTTATATACAATGTGTGTGTGTAAATTTTTTTCTACATTCAAGTTGGATCCAAATTTAAGGGACATTGCAAGATTTATATAAATATATATATATATATATATATATATATGTGTGTGTGTGTGTGTGTGTGTGTGTAAATGTATATATATATATATATATATATATATATATATATATATATATATATATATATATATATATATATATATATATATATATATATATATATATATATATATATTATTTATATATATATGCGCGGTATTATTAGAAAGAGCTCAATATTAGAGATAGAGATAACATAATATATATATATATATATATATATATATATATATATATATATATATATATATATATATATATATAAAAATTCATATATATATTAGGTTGGTGCAAAAATGTTGTTTTCTCACATATGTTTGAGCAACAAAGAACGACATTATTTTTCATTTTCACCAACCTAATATAAACTTCCAGTGTGTCTTAAATTTGAATCCATCTTGAATGTTGAAAAAAGTTTATATATATATATATATAGTTGTATGGATATGAGTTTTCAACCCAGCCATTCACGCTTTTTGCGTACATCAGTCAAACAGATTTATTTTTCAAATTTGAACCGATTTATCTTACTTTGTGTTTGATAACTAATACTATTTACTATTACAAACTAAAATACCAATTCTTTGCTCTGTCAATCTCAGTTTAATCGTCTACAATACACTAACAATCGATATTAAAAATGAAATCATTATCACAGCCATATTCACATGAAGTGACCACTTAAAGCAATCTGTGTATGTAAGATCCAGGCGGATAGAAAAAAATATATATATATACGTATACATGTTTGTCACGAAGCGTTATTTCATTTGAAGACGTTGAGGGTCAATTTGAAATATGACAAGAAGTCCAACCCAACCGTTTCCTTGTTAAGAGAATTTTGCTAAACACTCTCTCTCGACACGGAAATGAAATTCAAATGGCGTTTGTATATCTGATCGAACACATGGATATACATATCTGCGCCCAGTCCCTCATTGTTTATATATATATATATATATATATATATATATATATATGTGTGTGTGTGTGTGTGTGTGTGTGTGTGTGTGTGTGTGTGTGTAATAGGCATACATATGTATGTATGTATGCATGCAGTGATTTTCCAAGCGTAGCTTAGATGTGGCACAAGGCCAAAAGTAGGGGAGCACCATTACTCAGCCGTAATTGTTCTAGCGAGACAAGCTTGCTAACCATTTCAACGCCCCGTGGTGTGCAATATGTATGTCTGTATGTATGTATGTATGTATGTATGTGTGCGTATTATTAATGTCATCACAAAAGGGACACAGGGAAATTTTTCTCATACACTCCTATCCATACAACTAAATGCCAGCTGACAATGAGCGCTTTCCTATAAGAAAAAACACTAATTATATAATCAATATAACAGTGCTCAATGTAAATTTACTGAGTATGAATAATATAAATTTACTCTGTCCTGGACACAGTGTTCTACCTGGCTTCTGTCCTCTTGGAATTTATATATATATATATATATATATATATATATATATATATATATATATATATATATATATATATAGTATAAGTGTGCAGGTATGCAGAAAAATAGAACATGTTGGGTGCATAATCCGGAGTTCCTTAGTATTTTTTTTTTTTTTTTTTAAAGAAGACGGTGCTCCATACAGAAGTAGACCTTTAATAATAATAATAATATTTTTTGTTCCTTCGCTAATCATATTTTTAAATATATATATATATATATATATATATATATATATATATATATATATATATATATATATATATATATATATATATATATATATATACTGAACTCTGATATTATCTATCTATCTATCTAATTTTAATCTCGTGTTCCTCACATTAAACAGACCTTGTGTCACAACCTGACATTTGGATATTTGAGTAAATACAAAAAAAAAAAAAAAAAAAAAGCCTGGCGATTGTCAGATTCAAATGCAATTTTCAGTAACTTATTAATGAATGAATGTTTTTATTTACTGAATCGGTTGGTAGCAAATCAAAAATGTAATCAAACTCAGAAATAATATCTACGCAAAATAGTTAAAAAAAGTTATACAAATTTCTTGTTTAGTTTTTTTTCTGGTTAAAATGGCGGTTCGATGAGTGACAAAATGAAAGGGAAAAGTTTTTTAAAAAGCTTGATTATTTATTAAATTCATTCATTTTTTATTTAATTCGGATTAGCTTGAAATTATTATCATTTTTCAAACAGAATCAACATTTAAGTTCAAAAATGGCATTTTTTTTATTTGTTGTTCGATAGAATTATGTACGATTACTTTTCCCTCAAATGAAGAGGGAAAGACGTTGGATTAGATAAATTGAAAGATAAAGATAGAGACTGAGATAGATATCAGTTTTAATAAAATAGATAAATAAATAATGAAAAGATAGAGAGAGAGACAGTAAGTCAGGTTGATAGATAGACAGACAGACAGGTAAAGAGACAGACAGATAGATAGATAGATAGATAGATAGATAGATAGATAGATAGGTAATGAAG